GTTCGACACCGGGATCATCGCGAGGGAAAGATCGATCGAACATCGCTTAACCTAAGATCGATCTTTCGGTCGTCACGTGAGGCAATGGCGCGACGCGCGGTTTTCCGGGCTCCTTAAATCGGGAACCTCGGCCAGCTGTAGTTGGCGCGCACGTGTCTAAACACAATTAATAATATATTGTCCATATTGCTTATGGCACCAACTTTTTGAGCGATATCATTGCACGTGTGTCGGGAAAATCGGGATTTATGGGGTTTCAAGAGGGGGCTCGTTTGATTTGCTCCGTCGAAACCGGCGCTCCTACCCGCTGTTGAGCAAGACAATAAGAATCGGGACAGGTTCCAAAGGGGCTAGTACGCGACGAGGATTACTAACGTACGACTACGCTTACAGGTAAGAACTATAATAGTTGAGCAGAGAAGTGGAAAAAACAACGACAGTGCGGACAGTGCGTCCCCACCGATATTGCTACCGAGCACACACGTTTCCTCTTTCACTCTATTCGTTAATTATTGCGACGAACCGCGCGATAGAAAATGTCCGTGTCACATGAATACTACTGCACCGTGGCCAAACGAGGTGTGAGAACCGAGAGAACGGAGGATCGTCGAAGGGCAATTGAAACTCGGGATACGGCGAACAAGACAGATACGAAGGATATCCAAAATGTTTTTCGTGCGAACGAGACCGAAGGGTTCCAAGATCGTTCGCGTTTTCTATCACTATCGCGTGTTTCGAATCGTGTCGGATCAGTTCTCATGTGAAACGCGACATTACGTATCCGTGGCTCCCCTACAGCTGACCATGCTTCGATACATTAAAAACACTATTAACAATACAATTATTTCTTGTTTCGTTCTCGTAGTAAAAGTTAATTAGAGAATAGTATAACATCAAATAGAAGAGTATAAAGAACCATGCTTGGCGTATAGAGATAGACATTAAAGTAGGTAATAGGTAAGAGGACAATAGATTACGATATCGATAATCCATAATAACTTTTTCACTTCATTTTTTTTTTTCTAAGAGTAATTCCTCGCATAAACGTTGATGATCATTTAGTAGACTTTTTTTCTCTTTAATACAGTATTTTGAGCACATTCCTCAGGTGTATAACCACGCTACACTTTCTTCACCGAGTTGTACCAATATATCCCATAATTTTTGTCCGTACCATTGCTCCCATTGGCGAACGATTATCAAGACATTTACCAACGTACGAGTTATGGCGCGTGTACCAATTAAATAGAATATTGCGAATCAACTGTATGCAATCGAGAAATAATTTTAAAAGGAAGTACTGTATTTTGAGGAGAGTAACTACATTTTGGACAATGATAACAAACAATATCGCGTAAGTAGCATTCGTCCGTTTTCGATGGAAATAAATACTCGCTGGAAAATTAGTATTTTCCCGGATGAAATCAAGCACGCAGAACGAGACAACTTAATCGTAAAAATTTTGTCGATCGACGTGAACCGTGAAACTTGTACCAGGTAAACGTGTATTCCAGTTTGATTGTTAGCTTCGTCTCCGTTCACACGATGTTAACTTCAATGACTCGAATCAAATGGCAGTACAATATCGGTACAACTCACTAGTTGATGGCACGGGTCCGCCTATGTACAAATATGTAATACCATATACCACATACCATTTAAATACATCACATATTTATCATTTGTTATATATATATTCTCCATACAGATATACTCTTTTCTGTGACGTGGAGGGACTCGTTTGTACAATTCATGCATATCTTCGTTACTGTTTCATTGCTTCGTTTTGTCGTGCCTTCCCTTAAGTTCTGAGCAATCAGCCTCCAGGGCGCGCCCGGCGCGTTCGCGTTGCCCCAAATCCAGAGCGCCACGAGACCTTCCACTTTCCCGGAACAGGAACGAAAATAAACGCTTCGAGCACGCAGCTTCGACGAAAAAAAAAAAAACGAAAGCCAATCGTCAGCATTGCAATTGTTTCGGTGAAACGGAAACTCAATAACGCGCGTTTCGTTCGAACAAATCGCTTGAACGATCAAAATTATACCTAGAATTTCGTATCGTCTGGATTCGACGACAACCGTAACGCATCGACGCTTCGCTCGTTCCTTTCTTTCGTATTATTTTCCTCGTTATCACTAACTACGCCGTTTTCCTTCGAATCTCTAAGTCCGATTAAGAGTTAGATTACATACAATAATAATTATATTTAGTAGAAACTTAGTTTCCGTAACAAGTGTATTGTCTTAAATGATATGTCTGCTAATTTTGTTGCATTCTCGACTTACGCGCCGAACGCCGTGTTTTTTTTGGGAGGGGGATTCATATAACGGTTCCGCGCCCTTAAATGAACTTACTTTTAAGTCTCGACCGTCTAGGATCTTATTTAATAGTTAATATAGATTTCTAGGGGAGCCGCGCGTTCGTTGATCGCGCGCTGGAGGCTGTCGCTCAGTGTTCACAAAATCGCGTGTTCTTCTATGGTCACAAAGTAGTATTTCCACGGGGCCGTAAATATCTATAACGTTTAATTGAAAAATTAATTCGAGTCGAATAGCAAACGTAACGTTCTCGTTTCTTCTCGTGGTATATGCGAAATAAATTGTCCCCGTTCGTTCCCTGTGCGTATTTTTTTCCCTTTTTGTCATCGATAGATAAAACGGTGCCCTTGGTCATACTCGTCTTTACGATCTTTAAAGTTCTTGCCTGTAAATGAAAGAATATCGCGAAAATGTTCGTGTGGCCGGAACGTTTTGTTGTTTAAATCGCATTACATTTTTGTAAATCGGGGGCTTTGGAGGGGAAAGTGTGGGGGGGGCAGAAAGTGGTGAAACGTCGAAACACAAGACACACATAAAGACAGACGATTCTCGGAGTATTTTTTTTTTTTTATAATCGAACGGACCTCCTCGAATGCCGAACGTCGACGGTAGTTAATCGTTCCCTTTCGCTCAATAAATTGTCTGTTGCAGAACTTTCGACATTCGCTCGCGAACGTAGTCTTTATCTCGCTGACTAAAACAAGTGGAAGATTTAAAGCCATCCATTACGTGTTTTAAAACTTGGCAGATTCTTTAAAGCATCCTCAGTCACTTGCGTTTTACACGTGAAAAGTTTAAAAAGTTAAAATGTATATTCGTGATTTATTCTTTAATTAGGTAAAAGTTAATAAGAAGAAGAGTGTTAACAATAACAATAGCTTTAAGGTAGAATTAGAGCAACCACGATAGACGACACTCTTGAACGACAAATTGAAAACTCGAACAACGCTCGTACAAACCACGAGACGTCGTTCGAAATCGTATCGACGCATCTTCCTTTTATCGTGAGCCTCGACATTTTTTTTTCGAAACGATGTTCCTATATATAAAAAAAAAAAAAAAAAAATTAAAAAGTAACAGAAACGTGGTGGAATCTGTCCACCGAATCGAATTTCCACGTACGAACTTAAACAGACGCGTTCTAAATATCTCCGTCAAATAAACTTTAATCTTCTTCATGCTTTAATAATAATAAAAAAAAAAAAATAAAATAAAACAACGTACCTTTGGCAGATTGAAATGGTAATTTCAACGCGAGAATTTCAAACACAGCAAACACAAATAACAATTCAAGGCACCTTACATACAGGAACATCATTGCCTCTTTGGAGAAAACTAAAAAGCAACAGAATCGAATGTCTCGCGATCCGCCATTGCTCCTCCAAGAGTTTCGCCATGTAGTCCCTAGTAAGGTAGAAAATCAAGCCAAGTATATATATTTTGTTTCTATATAGATCCCTCCTAAAACAACCTAAAACCTAGCCTACGTATTTTGCGTTAAAATTCATCTTGAATTGTACATACAGACACTGATGTTAAATATGTACAGACATGTACACCCATTATGTACATATAGAGTCGCGATCTAATGATCCGTTAGACGAATAATAATAATTATTATTTTTTTCATTTTCATTAATAAACGTTTCTCTACTCTGTGTCTGTGTTCGGTGCACGTATGTATAATGTACTCATGGCTGTATGTATAATCACTTATGTTACATTCGGCCATCGACGAAGCTCTCGATCGTCACCGAAGCGAAACTTGAACAACTTGTCTCCTTCTAGAGAACTATTTCATCCTAAGCTACGAATTCATTTTCAATTACATCGATCTGTTTATACATATGTATAATGTGCATATATACACACAAATATATATAGTATATTTATATATATATTTATATATATATATTAAAATTTATTCAGACGAATATAGTTAATATATTAAGTAACAGAGGTAACAAAATCAGGGAGGTTCAACAAATCTACGAACGCCTTTCCGATAAGAGCCGCACACTTACCGTGATTCAAATACGCTAATGATATTTAAACTAAATAAAACTAGAGCGAACGTGCAACAAGTCGTGCCTCGTGATCGCGGGATATGCCCGCGAACCGCGTTCGCGCTTCCTGTTTCCGCGTCTCGAGAACCACCCCCCTTCCGAATTCGAATCTAACAAAGTTACTCTCCCGTAACAAAAGTCCCGCCCGGGAAGCGCGACGTCGTTCTCGCGAGCCGATCGCCGCTCGAGGATATAAATGAAAAATAGAAAAGAAAGAACAATCGAAAACGTTTGAAAAGAATGATAAAGAGGCAACAGGTAACAGTAATGTCTTGTGGCACAATCTGGGAACATCTCGCGTGCGAATAGCAATTAGGTACATCGAAAACCGCGATTATCGTTTAACGTTACAGCACTCGTCGTAGGTAAAATTTCCATTTCTCATTTAAATTGTCAGCCCCCCTCCCCCTACCCAACCCCCCGTCGCACTGTTGTCGACGCGTCTACTAAACGCGTCCCTGTGTGCTCTCGGGTCTCCCGCTCTTCTAGGCCATTTTTCTTCGTCGATGACGGGTGGTTATCCACCCTCCCCCTCCCCATCCCTCCCACGCGCCACGTGAAACCGTAAAATGAAAAGAAAGACGGAAAGCTTGCACGTTCGTTAATTAATTCGTCGGTTGGACGCGAATAGGGACTTCCGGTACCCTGTCTCCTCGTCGAACGGGGGCTTCGACTACGGAATCGGGTCCTCCTCGATCCTGGACGAACACGCCGAGGTAATTGATCCTCGTTTCGTCGCGCACTGTCCCTACGATATAAGGTCGCCTTCCCTCGTTCGGTTCGGCGCCTAGAGTCGCGTACGGTTTCCTTTTAATCATCTTTTCTTTTTTTTTTTTTTTATAACTTAGTTATGGCTGGCCTGGCCGTAGAACTCGCGATCCGTCGCGCTGTTCGAGCCCATAGCGCGTACAAGAGGTATATCTCGTTTTGGAACTATCTATCGTGGAAGCGTTCGCGTCGCTTTCGTCGAACGCTCGCCGCGCCAACCGCCTCGATGATCGAGGCATCGGACGACGCCTCCACGCGGGGTGGTATCGTGCTCGACGATCCATCGACGATCGCGGTTGTATAAGTGCCTGCCTATATAGTTCGCGCGACCGTAATACTTTTTTCATTTTTTTTCATTTTCTTTTCCTATCGTACCGTTACAGCCTTCGTTAAGGTAACTTAAGTTTAACCGGTTGGGCGTTGTCCTATGGTGGCCTGAGCCGCGTCGGGTTGTGCCATAAATGCGCGGTGCTCTGAGCGCCTGGGTCGCCGTTGCTTGGAGGCAGTGGCTGCTGATTGGCGAAGTCCGTCGCCTGCGGCGAAACGCTGCTCGACTGTTGCGACTGCAACTGTTGTTGTTGTTGCTGCTTCTGTTGTTGTTGTTGTTGCTGTTGTTGTTGTTGTGGTTGCTGACGTTGTTGCTGGCTGGACTGCTGCTGGGACTGTTGAGCTTTGGATTGCTGCTGCTGTGCAGGCCGTTTAGATTCCTGACCCGTTGAATCGGGCGAGGGCACTGGCCTGTGAGATTTCATGTGCGCGCTTCTGCTTTTCACTTTGTTGAAAACTCTGCAAGATAGACCGAACGACCAGATTAGACGAACGGTTGTCGGCTGATCGATGGGGGTGGATCGGGGAGAAATGATGCTTTGATGGGGAATCGACGATGCTTCCTACGGAAGGATTGTTCTTTTTTTTTTCTTTTTTTTTTTGAAGTTTGTCGTGTACAGTTGGAGATGGCTTGGAGAATGTTTGTCGAGGGCGATTTTGTATTTACAACGAGCTAAATAGTGACGGATCATGCGAATGGTATACTGTGACGTTGATCGTTGATTGCATGTGCGGAATCGTTCATCTTGACGTGTTGGAAATATATTACACAACAATTCGAACGAGAGATAGTTTAGAGTAAGATGCAATATAGAGACGAAGCGAAACAAGTAAATGAAATTTGGAAATAAAATTAATCAACAACGATGCAAACCAAATACGTTAACTATCGTAATGAAATGAAATTATAAAGTATTTGTTCCTTGATAAATACACCATTGATACTTGTTCCATAATGCACACATAAATAATGATGAATATTGTTCATTTGATCCTATCCTACAACGTGTCATTTTTAGCGATATTCTAATAATGCATCGATCAAGAGATGGTTTGGTTGATTTCTTTTAACAAAACTTAATATTATTCATTGTTACGTGGTATATAAAAATATGATGTACAAGGTGACTCCTCGTAAAAAAATATGAAAAAAATGTAGAATAGCTTTTGGGGCTCAGTTATCGAGAAAATTCAGTTCGAAAATTCATACACAAATAAACGCTTCTGAATGATGAAACGGTTACGAGGAATGTGATGCAACATGTTTGATATTTCCTGGAAAAGTACAGAAAGATTCGCAATACACAATATAGAGGATAGTTCCGTTTTTTTTTGAAAATATATCCAACTTGCTGCCACGGTATACTGTCCAGATGTTACGTCGGCGAATATAGTTGGCCAGCAGCGATTCAGCAGCAGTTCAGCAGCAAGTAGGATGCAAGCATCGCCATGAGTTATTTTGTAAAGGTATGTTTGTAGTACAGAGTGTTAATAAATATCAGGGATACCGTTGTAATTAACATTTTTGGGCGCCGCAAGAACGGACTTTGAACGTGTGTACGATAGTCTATGTCAGGATGAAAGTTTTTCAAGATAGAAATTTGTATAATACAAGCAGACAATTTTTCTAGTTTCACACAATAATGAGACAGTAGAGATATGAAATATTTCTTGCAGGGGAGGATTATTTTTCTGAAAACCTGAGATTACCTCTAAAATCTATACTAGAGGCCAAAATGAGACGACAAAATTTCAAATCATCCATGGAAAAAATATTTTCATTTGAAGGGTCAAATGCAATCATTTTTGGTGAACAGACATATCCCCGAAATCCTACTCATTTTCGAGAAAAAAATTCATTACTGAAAATAGAATGTCTGACCATACGTACACCTATTCCCCTTAAATTTGTCGACGAAATTGAAAAGTTTCAAATCACTCTGAAAAAATTATTTTTGGTTGCGGGGGATAATTACAATCAATTTTGATGAATATAAATACCTCCGAAATCCTACGCATTTTCGAGAAAAAAATTCAGGAAAGTGGACAGATTTTTCGGCGAAAATAAAAAATTTCAAATCGTTTTAAAAAAATTATTTTTAGCTGCGGGGATCGATTATAATCACTTTTGGTGAATACATATACCCTCGAAATTCTACGTACTTTCGAGAAAAAAATTCCTTACCGAAAATATACTGTGTTCCTACAACTTTTTAACGAAGCCCCAATCAACAAATTAGTATCCTTGATTTTCGTCTTATTTTGGCCTCTAGAATCTCCCATTAAAATTTTTCCCAGGGGTGGCTGAACACCCTGTATAAAATGTTTGAAACAAAAAGTCAAATGTTTCTTTCCTAAGTGCATAGGGAGCATATAAAGGTCATCAATGTCTTTTTTTAAATGCAAAATGGTTCTGAGTATTCTGCCAAGATATTTGGATGCAGCTAACTCGTTCAAGGAACGTAACCCTGATATTTATTAACAGGTAGCATATGTGACCAAAGTCTGACGTCTACGACGGGCACTGGTTCGCTACGTGGTCCCAAGACCGTATGCAGGAAGGCTTTTATTTCTCTCTAGAAGCGAGGTGTCTATATGTGTCGATACTTGCCGCTCGTCGCCGTTAAAGGCGCGTGTGTCAGTGGCCGGCCCATCGTTTATCGAATGGATAATTTAGATTAGAGATTGGAGACTTACTTCCCGCAAATCTTGCAGGGGTAGTGAAGTGGGGTGGGCACGGGTAGTTGTTGCTCAGAACTAGTGTGAGTTTGTGAGTTGGTGTTGACTGTGGCGTGGCCGGTATTGCCGGTTTGGGCGGTTTGGGTGCTTCCGGCCATCGTTACTGTTACACTTCCGCTAAAGCTCTGACAACACAAAGAAACACAAAGCAAAAATAAACAACACAAACAAACAACAACGACGACAGATAAGTAAACGCAGTGGTCACGCACAACGCACAACACGCTCGGTCCTTGTGATAGAAAGCGTGAAGAAACGACAAGGTCAACAACAAATCACATGCGACACTTAAACGTTCACACGTATGTACGCATGTAAAGTGGTTTTTCAGACGCGTAGCGCGCACGATGACGCCGGAAAGCCTGGGATCGTTCTAAACTATCTCGTGTTTTATTGGACGTGAATAAACTGTGCAAACTTCGCGGGTGAAATCTATTGAAAGAAACAAAGAATATCTGGGAAGTAATATTTCAAAGATATCCCGCGAATTTGCGGGTCAATAATTTTTGTACGGATGTGTGTGTTGTGATCGATGCATGCCAACGTCAATGGCGTAGCAAAATCAATTGTGTGCCCACTATTCATTCGGTTGCACCGCCTCTTCGTCTCTTATCTCGCGTTCTCTTGAACAGAGCAATGGGCATGTTTTATTATGGATTATTTCAGTCTTGAATATCTCTGAAATTATTAGCTTCACACCATATTTACTAATGCACCTTTGTTTCTTTCAATTAACCCCCTCAACCCTTACTATTTTTATCAATATTCTTTATAATAAAAAGTTTACCTACTTTCAAGGTTCATATTATTCCAGTAACGTAATAAATTATTGTTAGAGGCTATATCGATGTTGCCAGTTAATTTTACGATCCCAAACTTTTGAGCTGTAGTGTAGGCCGAGTACGAACCCACTTGCTTTCAATCGATTAGAATAGTTAATAGCTTAGGAATATTTAATGGGCAGATAGTTTTGCAACGAGTTCGGGGTGGAGGCTTCGTACTCGGTGTACGTCCATAAGTAATTAGAACGTATGCACGGTGAAAAGTACAGAAAAGTACTCGAGTAGTCTCGATAATTATATAGAGAGTAACTATGCTTCAGTTTGAAAAAATATCAAAATGTTATAAGTTATATTGAACAACTAATAAACGTTATTTTATATCATCCTAACGGTGAAATTGCAGTTCTGTTATCGTTTAATTAAACATTGTTTCATAAGTCGTATAAGTAAAGCTTGTAGGTAGAGTACGCAGAGTGTTGCAAACATTGGTACTCACATCTGGGCAGTCGTATGCGAATAATCTCAGCTCCCCGTCGCTGGTGGTCAGAGTAGCCGAGTTTTCTCTCTCGTTCGTCTGTAACTGAGCGATAAATGAACCGTTAAACATCCACGAAGCATATTTCAATTCGAATATTTTATGTATTCCCCGACAATGGCAATGCCCAGCCTTGGTCGACACAGTTGAAACAAATCCAACCGATTACTCGAGGCCGTGTTCCAACTTTCGACGCAAGTTTTATTATCACACTCACCAGAGTACGATGGAGGATCGATTTGTCTTCACCGAAGTCCATCTCCGTCACGGATGCGATAGCATCTCGAAGTTCCCTCGTGTCCTTGCAATCTTTGCTTTCTGTCTTAATCTTTGGTTTTCCATGACGGACACGCAGTCTCTTGTACTCGTCCGGGCAGAGCCTCTTCCATAGGTAATAGAATTGCACGCACTGTTTCGCGGTTTTGCCACTCACGTCGCGCGAGATCGCGGAGAAGTCCTTGTTGTACTTGAGAAGACCTTGATAGAACACGTCCATTTCCTGCGACGTCCACCTGTCCGATTCCTGGCACTCGTAACTGAGCAGCGGATGTTCCATTGGCAGCATGGGCGTTGGTCTCATCAGCTTCAGCATCGCCTCCTGAAAAAATAAACGTCATTCGCTGTAAATAATACGTTGTACCACTAAGTATGTAAATTGCCCTATGTAGAATATTTGAGTCCTCCAGAGAAATATCGATATTCCTATTATTCAGAGAGTTCTTTGTACGATGAGTATTAATTTTTAAAATAAGCCGTAATCGTGTCACTGTGAGCCGTGTGGGGCGTTAAGAAATATACTGTGCGTTTTCGAGAAATTGGCTAGCGAAAGGAACGTGGGTCTGATTGGTCATACGACGAAAGTGGGGGATAGGCGAAGTGCCCTCCCAGTATACAACTTCTAACGTATGCACAGTACCCTCAGAAAAGAGGATAAGAATAAAAGCAAAGTCGAAATATTCTTACATGAATGTTTCCTCTGCACATGTGCAGCAGATGCAACGCGTACTCTTTGTTCCTCCCCCCGCCTGGCACCGCAGCGCAGCATGCAAATTGCAAATACATCTCCACTGCAAAGAAAAATTAGTCGTGTCAAATGTACCGAAGTAGTTTCCACTTATTTCTAGGTAACGATGAAGATTCGTAAAGTGCGTTATCCCTAGGATGACTTCTATCGAATTTTGCTCGCGTGAGTCATTTGAGGATACAGCAAACCATTGATCTGATCGACGATTACAAATGAAAACAAGCAGAAGTAGTCCCAGAGTCAAGTCACTTGGCAATTATAATATGATATTACAGTTGATAAGCTGTTTAAGGCTTCCGGGTATAAGCGGCCTTCTGAAAGGGTGTTTTGATGTATCGCCAGCATTGCAGCTAGCTTCGTCAGAGTTCTGATGACGTACTGACTCTGACACCTAACCCGGATCGTCAAAGCCTCAAATATCTTATGACATCACACCGTACGGACGACGTTTAGGAAAAATGAACACTTACGTTCGCTGTCGGTCAGCACGTTATTTATACCAGGATCCCAGAGCAAGTGGTCAGCCTCGGGTTCTCCCTTTCCTCTGTCACCGTCGCTGCCCACCGGCGGTATCGTCGCCTGGTACCTCGTCCCGATGTTGATCCTGGGCGGTGGTCCGTCGTTTCCCTGCGAGTCGTCCGAGCTGAAGTCGGAGTCTCTCTCGTACTGATGTAACCTGGCGTACAGTCCGGGCCCAGGACGGGACGGGTCCAAAATCGGCGGCGGCGTGTAGCTGCTGTCCCAGTGTCGATCGCAGGCCTTTCTCAGCCTCGACGGGTACGAATGAGACGCGCTGGCGTAGAGGCCGCCGTCCATTCTAGGCCTTTTCCTACAGTGTCGTACAGGGCTACCGGTTGGTATGCTGCTGGGATTGAGGAACACGTCCTCGTCCAGGAGTTCCTCCTTGATCTGCTCCACCGGGATCGGCAGGCTGGACGTCTTCTGTCTCATGTTACCGTTCTTGGCCGTGTTGGTCTGTATGAGAAACTTGGCGGGATTGACGACCTGCTGCTGGTTGAACTGTCCAGCGTTGTACTGGTGGTTCGTCTGCACGTTCAGGCCGAGGTTCACGGTGACGGGCTCCACCTTGGGCGTCGCCAGGCGCATCTCCTTCTTGAAGGTCAACGCCGGGCTCAGCGAGCCGGTCTGAACGAGGACGTTCGTCTTCTGCAGCCCCGCGGTCTGTATCAGCTTGAACTCGCCATTGTTGTCGACGACGATCCCGGCCAGGCTGCCGTTCCCCAGGCCGAAGTCCACCAGGTTCTGGCTGGTGATGAACTTGTACGACTGAAACTCGAACCGTCTGCGGCTGGCCGTGGTGAAGTCCTTCGGCGTAGACGAGAGCAACGGGTCCTCCGAGTTTGGCATCATCTGGCTCTGCAGAGCGTGGTGAGGCGACACGGGGAAACTGGTGCCCGTGAAGGACACCGGTCCTGGCGACGAGACGGAGGACGGCGGCAGGGAGGACAACGGCGACGGTGCCGGTGTCGCCGACAAAGGGCTTGGCAGTGGCGAGTGAGGGTTGGGCGAACCCGATCCGTAGAGGTCGGCGTCAGCGTCGGATTCCCCTGGCAACACTTCGCTGAGAGCCTCCTCCACCGCTGCCGCGGAGGACATGGTGGACGTGTAGAAAGCTGCGGAGAGCGGCGACGAGACCTGCCTCACGCTCTCCGGGTCCTCTTGCGGACTCAGCAACGGCAGACTCCCGGTCAGGAGGCCCTCTTGGCTGGCTGGTGGCGTCGGATATGTGAAACTTGGACTGTCGTGTCTGGTCAGAGGCGATGGCAGCGGGGACTGGGTGGGCAGGGTGTGCGGACTTTCCGTGTATTGTGCGCCGTATGTACTGAACTCGGCCAAAGAGTCGGGTAATGGCGAGTTCACCAACGCCTGGAGGTCTGGGTTCACGGTGTGCTGAGACGAGTATCGTTCCTCCAGAGTGATGTCCTGCAGTTGTTCGGTGGTTTGCTCCTGGAGCAAGCTCGCCGTCTGAAACTGAACGGCAACCGGTGTTTTTGGATGATTGCAAAACATTATTTTATGCGAAATAGTGGAATAAGTCCATCTCAATGGTTGTTTCACTCCAGAAATTTTTCTATACAGACATTTTAAAATGCGTTTCTGAGCTTGTAGAAGTGTTCTCGTAACTTTAATACGCGTCTGGATGAACTAAGTTTGTTTTCCAATAATACGACGAATGTTTTTCTTTTTTTTTATATTTTAGGATTAACCGAATAGCGGAGTTTTTTCGACGCGTAACAGAGGGATGGTAGGAAAAGCGTGCCCTTCGCGTTAAATTCCGTCGGGGCGATATCGATTCGTCGTCGAATCGTACCCGTGAAAAATTGAATTTGCGGAAGAGGTCGGATGGATTTTGCTGAAAAGTTCGCGGAACGAAGGCGTTCCGTGATCCAACGGTAGGAGATGCAGGCATTAGGGTGGAATCTCTGGTATCCGTGGGTCAGACATTAACGAGACTACTCGACGACGAGAGGTTCGAGTCGAGAGCAGACGGGGTGGCGGCGGTGGAGGATGCAAGATATCTCTGGCGGATAGGGTAGGGAAGAGGCGGGGATCCGGTGCTTTTCAAATGGCACAAAGTAGCATTGCAAGCATCGTTGGTGCAGTCGGTGCCAACTACTTAAATAATTCGTCTTATTAAATTTCTGCGTCGAGGGGGCCGGCGAGGCCGTGACGTAATTGAAACTAAAGCGTTTTCAGCGCTCGACGTGGAACGAATAATGAGACGCCGGGGCTAATTAGACCGTCAAAGGATCGCGAGATATTGTGTCTTAACATGACCGCCGAAAATGCAAATGCCTTCCCTCCTTTTCGCGTGACTCCTTTCTTAACCCTCGCCCTTTGTCAACCGGGACGCCGGTTCCCGGATAAAGTTGTAAATTAGGAGTTCGCGTGGACGGGCACCGTGAAAAGAAACGAAACGAAGCCTCTAGACGATTCGTGGACAGTTGCAACGTGTCTCGAACCGAATCGTTAACTCTTTTAATCTTCATTTATGAAAAGTATCATTCGTTAGTTTGAATTTTAATTATTCGTCTATCATTATTATTATTACTCTAAATGCCATTTGAAATTTTCTATATTCACGTATGACCCAATTACGATTTTTTATTTCTTCACACAGCCCCAGTGAATAAATTGAAATTAGATATCACGTTTCAGAGACGCATTTCTGTTTTTGCTATTCACGATTCCTGGGCGAAGAAGCAACGTTGTAGATAGGGTACTGGGCTTTGTAGATTCGCCAATCACTGTCGCTTACATTAAGGGGTCATACCGAGCGTGCAAGATGAAATCAATAAACTTGGAGATAGGCAATGTCTCACCTGTAGAGAGTCCAATTGAGTAGCGTGAAGCAGAACGCTGTCAGGAACTGCGGTGACCTGCTGGAACACTTCGTCTTGAAGGCTTGGACTAAAGTACCCGCCGTCCTCGGAGTAACCTGTCATCGAGAAACTGTCTGTGACTGCGGGTTGAGATTGAGGCTGGTTATTTTGCTGCTGTTGTTGCTGATTGGTCGCCGATTGAACCGACGTCTGGTACGTCAAGTGCAATCTCTGCCCGGGATCGGATGTCGTCCTCTTCACAGCCATTTTAGTAGTGCCCTGAAAAGTTTCCCGTTTGTTTCTTCATTTCGATGAACTTCACTTTCAACAAAATACTTTCAGACCAACGTACATTGATTGAATAACTATTGAAAATACCATATTCGTCTCTACAACCGACACATAAGAATAAACGAACCTACACTTATTGATTTAATAATTTACGGAATGATGTTATAAACGTGACGATGGAGGGCTGGATTTTTTAGAGTTGGCGAGAAAAAGTTACCTTCAAAATCATGTCGGCCAGCGCCTGCGCCTGTGCCTGGGTCTGTGCTTCCTGCAGTTGTTTCTGCACGGTTGCATGACCCCCAACGGTGACGTTCGGTTGTCGGAAATGTTCGCCATCCGAGAGTCTGCGGACCTTCTCCGCGGAGGCCAATGGCGGCGGTGCTGGTACCGCGAAGTTCGTTTTTCCAACGACCTGCGACCCGCTGTCTGCCTGCGTGGTGAACACAGTGGCGTTTGTGCGTGGCTGTTGATTCGTGCTCGTGTCTGCTGCTGAAATAAAAAAATAGAATCCACTTGAAACATTACCGATCAAAATCATCATTGATTTTTAAAACGATACTATAACAATCTTGGTGCAAGGCGAAAAATTGAATCTTATCCTCTCACATTGTATTTCTTTGTATTTTCGTGCACATTGGATGACAAACGATCGATAAAAAGTATATTAATTAATATTCTTAAAATACAGTTTTTCAAATAACAGCGTTATTACTCATATATTGAAAATGCTATTATGCACATCCACATTATGTTTTCGTAACCATTTATACAGGTTCTAATTACCGTTGCATATTATTTTATGTTTTTAAAAGAATCCAGTAGCACGACGATAAAATTATTATTATTTGTCGCGACAAAGGGAAGATAATACAAATTATTTCAGCGATGTCCATGCACGTTCCGTTTTTAATCAGTTCGTAACAGCCTACAGAAGATAACCACCTTCTCGATATAACTGTCGAATTCAATAATGACAAAATACCTACCGGAATGCAAATATTAATTTTCCCTGGTCGAACGGTTAATACCGTAAGTAAGGTCGAGCGATTGATTAAACCCCACCGTTATCATTAAACAATATTTCGATAAATTTTCAATCCGAATAGGTACACCGAACTATTTATTTAGCTTCGTCCCCCCGCAGTTTCGTTCCCACGTAACTTTTGAATTTTGTTCGTCGATAAAACGGCGCATGCTCACTGCGATAAAATATTCCTTTAATAACAGACAAATAAAGGATCGCACGTTGTTACCCAGAACAATGATTTTTAAATAAACTTCAGAGTTCTCGTTCGAGCATCGCCGATATTGATACTCGACAGAAGCAACTGAAATCTGTTAAAAAACATTGTCAAGTTGAGAAAGTATTAATTTTACATTTATTTATTTAGGAAGAAATCATTTCAATTTTAGCTTTATTTATTAGTGATTTCTAAGTTGGTGTGATTTCATTGTTGAAATTTCTCTCAGCTGTCAGAGATCTGCATCGATTCGTTTTTCGTGTCGATTGTTCAATGGCGAAACGGATTGCAAATACAGTGCATGCGAATTTAGGGACGAAGGGAGCTTCTGTTGTCCAGTTCCGGAGGATCTCGATCGTCCTTCCGTCGACGATAGACGCGACTGGTTGGCCATTTTGAACCGTGCATCCCGCCTCGCGGCCCTTCCTCCCTTTCAGACCCTTTCCGCGCGACTAATTGGAGGGAAGAAATGGGAGCCGGATGAAAAGAGAGGGATCGGTAAATGCAGTAATGCGATTCGTCCTTTCCGACTCGTCCCGTACGTATTGGCCTCTATTATGACGTTAATATGCATTAATCGTATTGCTGGTTAAGCGAACGTCCCGGAACGTTCCGAGTTTATGGGGAATAAATTACGATGACTGCGAGCTTCTTAGCGAACCTCGGTTTCCCCCGTTCGTTTGTGCGTCCCTTAATCCCTCCATTCACGATCGTACGAGCCGGAACGAGAATAATCTTTCGTCGGGGCGAATGGTTTTAATCGTGCCCCCGGTAATAAGATGTTAGTAATCGTTTGGAGAAAGTTCTTTCGCCCAGAGAACCGCAATTAATACGCGAAACGATGGGTAGAAATCACTCTTGTTTTTTTGTGGTTCAGATACATCAAAATTTACGTATTTTAGTTTCCGTTCCCACTAGAGTTTCTTACGCTGTAATTTTTAGGGGTTCACACTTGTTTACGATGGATTTTTGCATTCAACTAGGTTGCTAATTATTATTATTTTATATCAACTCGTTTTTCTTTATTTCTATTCGCGAAAAGAATCACGAGCTGACCGTACTTCGACCGTACAAAAAGGAAATATAGAAGAATCAGTGGAATGTATCAATGAATGATCAGACGAGGGACAAACTTTATCTTTTCTACATAAATAATATTCTGAGAGTATAATATAATAGTATAATAACATCTTTTAATAAAATTCCGCAGGTGAAAACAAATTTCCTTGTTTTAAATAAAAAATCAGTAGAACGTGGGCATATATGGTCAGACGAGATAGAATCGATAATAAAACGCTGCAGAAAAGGATGATGGATAATAAAACTCGACATTTGGAGATGCTCTCTTACGCATTAAAGATGTTAATAAATTAACGTGTAAACAAACTCTTACGTAAAACTTGCACAAAGTAAAGATGTGACTATACACGAATTGACACTGTTTATAATAATAACGAGCAACCACCATTGTAAAAACGCCCTTTCAATGGATTTTATGGTAAACGTGAGTAATAAACGAACGAAAATAAAACGCGATGGCTGTCGAGCGAGGTTAAGGGTTGAAATAAACTCTATTCGCGCGGCGTAAGTTATTATCTTGGTATTCGAGTAAAAGAGACGAATGGTTTCATCAATATTTCCGGCCGCGTTCAAGATTGACGTTTAGTGCATCCGCGAAGAGACAGTATTGACCGGTGAAAAATATATTTCGCGGGGCGAACCATCGTTTACGCCGGCAGCGGAACCCCGACAGATATAAATGCGTGCATATCCTGGCAGGTTGCTGGGCGCAAGAAGGAAATGGGATCCCGTCGAGTGTGCAGCTGTATCGCAACGAAACTTTTCTACGACGATTTCATGAATATCTGGCCCCGTAGCTGGCTTCCAGCCCGAGCCCCGCCTCCCATCTCCGACCTTTCTCGTCTTTTTCTCCCTTTGCGTCATATTATACTGATCGTCGTCCGGCGTTCCAAGCGTTTTTACTCGTCGTCAGTCCGGCTCTGCGCGCCGCGCCGCTAATAAATCAACCGAAAGAAATTAATATCCGCCTCGAAGCGACCTAACTCGTTCGACCATCGCCTGTACGGAGGTAAATTGAAATCGTTGCGGACGCTTTTATCCCGGGATGGAAATAGAAATCGTGGCAAAGCGAACGATTGATTCCGACGTAATTTCTCGTACGTAATCCCGACAGCCTTCCGGCGAACGCTACTTTCGTTTTAGACTCACAATCTATGTAGAACTACACTCCTCGTTCCTCCAAAATTTGTTAAAAGACCACCTGAAACTTTTGTTCTGCGCCCTTTGGGAGCTCGAGAATTTTCAGAACTTTCATAATGGATACTATGAAACGAATAGAAATCTAATTCGATAGGTTGATTTTATCATCGTTGAAAAATGTTCAAGCTTTTAGGCTCACAATCTATGTACAACTCCACTCATCCTTCGTCCAAAATTTGTTAAAAGACTACCAGAAACTTTTCTGTTCTGCCCTTTGGGGACTCGAGAATTTTCAGAATTTTTATAGGGGATACTATGAAACGAATAGAAATGGAAATAAAAAATTTGAACCATATTCTCGTCTAATTCGATAGGTTGGTTTTATCGTCGTTGAAAAATACAATGTTCAAGCTATTAAGCTCACAATCTATGTACAACTCCACTCATCGTTCATCCAAAATTTGTTAAAAGACTACCAGAAACATTTCTGTTCCGCCCTTTAGGGACTCGACAATTTTCAGAATGAACACTACGAAAATAATAAAAATGGAAATAAAAAATTTGAACCATATTCTCGTCTAATTCGATAGGTTGGTTTTGTCGTCGTTGAAAGCTACATGTTCGGGCGCGTATGGTGGCAATTACAGTACCCGATTAACGAATCGATTCCTGCCATCGACTCGCCGCAATTCGCGGAGCGTTCGACGAAACCCTGTTGCATTTTTCACCCGGCACTTTCGTGCATAACTTTACGCAGAGACCGCAAATCCATTTGACGGGAGCACATTTTGCACAGTCGCGTAACGACGTAAATCCGCGCAGGCGAAACCGCCGGGGATTTTTGCAAATTGCCAATCATTGATCGCGGTAAAGCAGATTGTCCCCGACGAAGTGGACGCGAGCCTGTCTCCGTGTTGTTTCCGCTTCGCGTGGCAATCGCGGTGGCTCTCGCCGGGTTAAGGGGTTCCCAATAAAAGGAGCGATACGTTTATTAACGGTCGATCTGCAAATAGAAAGAAAGATACCAGAGCCAAACAACTCTCTGTTAACGAGCAATATCGCTCGAATTACTGAAAATGTTAGACAACCGTAAATAAAGCCAATGGAAGCTACTAGGTTTCAATTAATTAACTGTTCCATAATTCAATTATTATTTAAATACAGTTAAATGCTCGAATAAAAATGGCAACGAACAGTTTGTAAACTTTTAAATGATTTATGCTTGATTGCCAAGGAAAGGCATTTTAAAACTATTGTATCGAATTCTATCCTTTTTCTAAGTTTGCTTTCAAAGACTACTTTCGATGAGATACGAGTACAAATTGTAACTATCGTACGTTTTATTAGCAAATACGCGAGAGACGGTTTGAACTATTTTTATGGGACGTATTCTTCACCAGTTTACTGAACTTTCCGCGACGATCAGCAGATAACCGCGATATTTTACTGGTCCTCCATAACCAGTGCCGTCATCTTATCGTATTTTTCGTTGAATTGCACCGATGCACCCGGCATCGAGTTATGCATCGTCAGCGATAGCTCGTATTCCGCGCGGCTGCACGGTAAATTCCGAACGAATCGCCGATTCTTCTTCGAAAATTATCGTATCACTCTTTGACATCGGAATCTGTTTGAAATAATTTGTCAGCGTCGCGCCGGCAGCCCGCGAGAACGTTTCGAAATTCGTTTAAATTTCAACGGCACGAAATAAAACAAACATTAAAATGAATTTTAAATTCACCGCGACCGATGAAATTAAATTGGGATTATAATCTACGCAAACTATGAGCGTTCATTACAGAATTTATTACACTCGCGGAAATTACCAATGCCCGTTGCACGGGAAACCCAATTCAGAATATTTGCATAAATTATTTATTTCCAATTAACGAACGAAATCACTGTTCGGAATTTATAATAATATACTCGATAAATTTATTATATTACTGTACTAATGATGTTAAATTTATAATTATTTTTACTACCGCAAAATCGTGGTTTTTACATTTTGTTGACCCGTTATCGCTCCTATTCGATTACGATGTATTTACTTGGTGAATAACTCGCGTTTTCAGTATTATTAATTAAGTACTTCGATAGAGCGTTTAAACTATTGCAAACGTGTATTAAGAATTATATTTTACCTAGGAAAAATAACAAATTAAACGATACACGATTAAAAATATAAGATATGAAATTATTCAAATCGAAACGTATAAATGTATGTTCATTGAACTTTCAGGAAGAATTCTCTAATATCGTTGATTAAACCAATAGATGGGTTAAAGGAAGTTGTAATTGCAGATGTCGGAACGTTTTTGCGAGCTATCGCGTGTGAAACTGATCAAACGAGGAATCGAACGTGCGCGTGGGTTGTTATTTTTTTTGGAGAATCGACCGATCGCTGCAAAACGCGACCGCAAAACGAGAGATCGATCGATAAATAATTTACTGGGATCGTTTATCGGGCGCGACTCAATTGCTGACGACGCATGGCGTCGCTTGTGCGTCGCGCTCCCCCCGTCGTCGACGCGTCGATGCAATTAGAGGAGGATTTTCGGTCGAGTTGCCCGTCGACGATGGCAAACGTTCGATATTTTTTAGCGAAACTCTCAGGAGAAACGCGGGCTGAAAGCTGTGGCGACTGTTGATGTGCAAATCGTTAGTAACGGGTTGGAATAGAATTCGCGACATCGCGAAATCACCGATTGTCAGAAACGAGTCGCGAAAATTTATACCTTGACACAACACGTTTACAGAATTTATCAATAATAGCTAAAGGTGCTTTTACAGGACAATTAGAACGTTTTATTTTATTTTTCTATAATTCATATAATCTCACGAACATTCTTTCAAAGAACGCATTCTCAATTTTTTCGAATCGTAGAATCCTTCTCGACCCCTTTTGCTTCCTCCAAAATACATTCGATCCCAAGTATGTTTTATTGTGAGTTAGGACGTTTTATTTTATTTTTGTATAATTCATTGGCATAAATCTCACGAACATTCTTTCAAAGTACACATTCTCAATTTTGTCGAATCGTAGAATCCTTCTCGACCCTTTTGCTTCCTCCAAAATCCATTCGATCGGAAGTACGTTTTCTCGTGGGTCTTTCGTTCTAATTGTTACGTACAACGAGGACCAAAAAACCCGAAATTCCGCAGTCTGCCGTTCGCCCGCGAGGACAAACATCGATAAAAGCAGAAACGGACCCAGCCGTCGACGACGAATTCCAGCGGGAACAAAACCGCGCCGGATGTCGGGCGTTAATTCCGACAGATTAATTCCAATATGGGAGGACCGGTCTCCGCGAAGAATCCCCGCGAAAGGAGCAATGGTTTCGTCCCCCGGCGCACTTGGCAGCGGTCGACGGCGAAATAGCGCATAAATCGCTAACGACGCACACTTTGTTACAAAAGCGCGGCTTCCGGCCCCTTCCCCGCCCGTCGAGCCACCCCCTCCCCCCTTTCGGCCCACCCTCGCTCCACCGTGCCGCGAGACTTGATTTATGGTTCCAACGTGGACAATGCGAGAAATATTCTGGCGTGCTCGCTTCGTAAATCACGATTCTTCGGCAGTCCATAGAGCGCGGAGGAGCGATTCCTACGCCGGGCGGAATATCACGCGAGCTTCTGGCAAATGTACACGCTTCGAGGGATGGATAGACGACGAAATGGTAGGAGAAAGGGGTAGAGAGAGAGAGAGAGCGAGAAAGCGGAGAGATATGGCCGAATTGTGATACGTCGCGGGTCGCATAAATCATCGGAATCGAGCTAGCGAGTTTTGTGTTCTCAGCGTCGCCCATCGAATTAATATTTCCACGCGGAAACGATCTTCCTCCTCGAGTGTATCCGTTAACCTTGGAGAGGCCATGGTGGGGGGAATTTTTGAAAATTTCTAGGGGCAACTATCTATTTTTTCATTGAGAAAAGCTTGGGTTATCGTTTGAATGAGAAGTTGGAATAAATAGTATATCTTGGGTTTGACATTTTCATATAGTCTAATGCCAATTTATTGAAAGAGAAAAATTAAGAAAAATAATAAGAAAGTTTCTGAAGTATTCAGGAACTAGAAAATGGTCCTCAAATAGTTTTCGTCAAGTAATTACTTTGTTTCGAGTAAAACGTGGTGGCCAATTGGCGCGCTCTAAGTCGCGTTAACTATTTCAAAGGGAATTTATAGAGTTCTGAGACAGGTATCCAGTTGTCGCGCGGTTTCTGTGTAAGCAGATATTACGTCCGACTCCCGAATACATCCGAACCAAAGTTAATGTAAGCTGACAGTTAATATAACTCGGCTCGCTCCTTATGATTATAGTTTGCAAAATGTATGAGGGTAAAAGATAGACACAGAGAACGAGGGAGAACCGAGGAGAGAGACAACCGAATCGAGATACGTTCTAGGGTACATAAATCATCGAAATTCTATTCTCATTCTACGGCTCTGCGAACTTCTATGTTCGTTACCGTTATATCAATGCCATTATTCAGCAGCTGATACGAGTACGAGCCAGGCCAAAAAAAGAGAAATGAATTCAATGTTTTTATCGTTTCTGATCGACCTATTGTGAAACGAATTTCGCTCGCCGACCAACTGGGCTTCGACAAATATTTAAACGTTTCGATCCAAGATTTCATACTAAATAACTTGTTAATTTATGATAGAATCAACATATACGAATGCTGGGAAAATTTCCACTGTCTCAGAACGGTCAAACAACGCGTATTAAAAATAGTCAAACTTTAGACGCGTGCAGTTCCAAAACTACTAGTGTTATATCTATTATTGAGCCACTGTTAGAAGCGGTGAAGCTTCCTTTTTAAAATGGCTTTTGAATTTTGTCGATCGGACTTTCCGTTTTCGAGATATCGCAATTTATGTAAAAGGTGATTTTTCTTAATTTGACTATCGCTGTCTTCGTCTGACGCGTCGCGTCGTACCTCTTTGTCGCACGTGACTCGTGACCGAGTGACCTAGTTTCGACGAGCACGTGCGGTCAATGACCTCGTGACGTCATCAATGAAACGTAAACAAACGCTTCGGACCCTCGTATCTCCGTAACTAGCCACCGCATCGACTTGAAACTAAAATCGCTATATCTCCGGAACTAATAAAGCTATCGACTCGTTCGAACGCTTATTTTAAAGGGCATTTCATCCCCTATCCGATGACTATACCACCTACTATAATTTTTGCTATTTTCTATGTTTATTTTCACATTTACTTTGACTCTACATACCCAAAAAAGTTTTAGCAATTCCTATCGAGTATATGACCGGTGTGGGATGAAGAATGATCGGTTTAGCGTTAATAAAACTTACCAGTAGTCCTCTTTTGGATAATTTTTTCCTCGATAAGTGCTCTGACGCTGACAGACGCGGTTTGCAAGGGCGGCCCGACCACCTCCTTCTTCTCGCTTTTCTTATTCTCGGCATCCTGAAACAATCAAAAGCGAAGCACGTTAACGACGCTAATAGATTCCTTTTGAGAGAACTTCTTGGAAGTTTAATGCTTCTAAAGTCCACCTCAAAATCGTTCGATGGACTTTCGAGTTAATTACAATGTCCTATTTCTTCTTTGGACGCGAAACTCGACTTAAAATTACGAGCTTCTGAAACGTATTAACTTTAAAATGACCTTTGATCAGAGACAGTGCTACTACTAATACTGATTTCTGAGGCTCGCGGTTTCGTCTAAATAAATTAGGATCATTTTAAGACTGGCTTTAACACAGACGATACATGAAAATTGCCCGAAGCTAATAACAATCTGACAGAGTCTCTACTTTTTGGCGTTGAATATTGCAATTTTAATCGAAACAGTGGCTCCTGTTTCTCGGAACGATGCATATTTCAATTCCCTCGTTTCACATTTAATACTGTAATTTCAGAAAGAGAAACGCCAAGTGTATTAGACCCCGCGATCAGATTCCCTTTAATGCAGTAAAGGTTTCTATTAAGAATTGTTGAAAGATGTACGCTGAAGAGTACCGGGAATATTGTTTGATGGCCACAAAAGGATATGAACATAGCGGGCCAGGCGCGTCTCCGGGCTTTTGTCGTCAAGTACCCAGCATCTCGAGACTCTCGTTAAGTAAGAATCTTGGTCAGACATCGAGGACAAAGCTTGGGTTGCGCAACAGAGGGACCTGCTTGACCTCGTCTAAAATTCACGGAGTCGTCCGGGATCTAATTTTATGGGTCTGCTTGCCGAAAGATCGATTAGAACGTCGCGCTCGAACGCACCGGGGGCGATTCAAGAGAGTGGAAAACCAGAAAAGTAGCACCAAGAGGGACGAGGAGAGAAATGGTACTGGAACGAGACAGGAGAGATCAGATACCTCAGCTAGGATTATGGAGAAGGGAAGGAGATGAGGATGACTGATGAAGGAGGACGGGCCGGAGAAAAAGAAACGATAAGACACTCAGATGTAGAAGATCAGTGGCAAACAGCTGACCGCATAATTAACAGGTTCACAATTTAATTCGAGATCCTTCATTTCTCTTTAAAATTCAGCGAATTTTAGCTATTTTTACGGAATTTTAAGGCTCCACTATGTTACCTGATAAAGATAATATTTGTTTACTGAATATTTATAGATAGGTATAACTTCTACGAATATTGTATATTAGAAGACATAGAAATACTCCAAGTGTCTCATATTTTTCTCCGAAACTGTACCTTTGATTCCTCGATGGGATGGAAACCAAACAATGATCGTTTGTTTATATTATTTTTTATTTTCCACTGATCACGCAGTAAGTCGATCATGCCTCGTAGCACCCCATTGGAAACGATTTGCCCGTTTCGTGGGACGAATCGTCGTCCCCGGGGTTGTAGTTCGATCGGACCCCGTGCAGATTAGTGGTCCCGATGAAACGAAGGGTTAATTGTCCCAGGGCTTCGGACGCGGCGGTAATTAGCATGCGTCCACGTCGTACCAACGATATATCTTCGTCCCATTTCGCGGATCCCCTTCGAGAAACTATGCATCACCGTTCGCCGGGGTGATACGCGCCGCTCGACGTCGTCATCTTGATCGAACCTTAATGGCCAGAGCACCGGGGGTCCCCGGTAATCGCTGATCGTCATCGTGCTCCTCAATTTCCTATCCGCTACTTCGATATGTAGCCGCGTAGAACGTCTGTACGTACGCGTATATATATCACCCTCTCACGAAATTGAACTCTGTCTTTGACGTGGCGTACCGCGCTCGGTTCATGAATATTGATCGGCGACCGTTAATGCGCGAAATTGATTGCGGAACGCTCGCCCGCTCCGACTCATCAATTCGATCCGTGTCGATTCCAGCCCCGTACCAGCCCAGTCTCTCCTCTCCCCGACGCCCGTAATGCCAACTTTTTTTTTTTCTCTCTCCCGATTTTAATTGTGAGCCCTCGATTCCACCTCCCCACCCCTGACACGTGTACGCGGGAATTTTTTTTTCTTTTTTTTTTTATTTACCCGTTGCTTTTCTTTCTGGCTGTTTATCCTACCGATCGTCGATCGTTCCGACGGCGAAAGGGCGGGAAAGTAGATCACGGGATAGGACGCGTATTAGAGGCGAAACGATCGTTTGTTTCGCGGGGTTGCAGCTTCTGTAATTAAGCGCCCCGCCGGGACCGTTTAATCAACGGATCGATGGAATTTCTATGCGAATTTAACGCGCTAGTTTCGCGGAATCTTTTATGCATCGGTCAGAAAAATGCGTACTCGATCTAATTCATAGGTGCAGTTGTTCCCCGAATTATCTGAATTCAAGCTCTGGTGATACTACTTTCGAAATGGTGGTACCAAACGTTGTAACTGATCTGCGCTCGGATCGTAGCATAAACAGGCTTGACAAGCGAATTCGAAACTGCGGAAGATTGATTACGAGAGTCCCACTAGTTTTCGTACACACAAATCTGTCATTTCATTTACGGTGATTTCGAATCGATCATTCCGTCCTGTTTTCGTCGTGTCTGTAATGCTTCGCGATTCGGGGAACGAATGTAAAAAATTTAGTTTTGCAGGATCGCGAATATTCGAACGGAGGGGAGATTTAAAAATGAAAACGAACGTCGTGTGAATTTTATAAATTTCTAAATAAATAATTATCTCGATTAAATGAAATTAAATCCACGCTGGTCGCGTTTCGTTTAAAATTTTACTCCGCGTGTAAACTATTTACAGAGCGGCGCCTCGAGGTGTTCCAAAGTTCGCATTTTCGTCGTTCTATTTCGAAAACTAGTGATAAATTCAAATGTTCGTTTTCACGGAACTGGCCCCGGGCAATATTAGACTGAAAGCTCTGATACCGTCTACCGAGCAACTGTCTAAAATTCCACGCAACTTCTCCTATCTCCTGTTTCATGTTGTAACTGCGCCACGAGAATTACCATTACAAACTTTGACTAGAATTCCTGAAAAATACATTCCAACGTAATATAACCTCTTACGGTTTAACATAGAATCTACATACACGTAATAAAGGAAGGATAAGTCTCTTCCAACTTGCAACCGTGCATTTTAGTTCGATACTACTTGCTGTTGAAGGTACAAAATAGCAGAGATATTCTTTAAATTCAACCACCATTTTAAAAGAATGTTTGCAATTGACGTTAAGATAAATTCAGGAAATCTACGTTCGATCAATAGAAATATTAATTGTACCATAATACCAAGGTTCTCGAATTAATAAATTTATTGTGCCCAAATAAAGAATAAAGAAAATATACCAAACGTGGAATAAGATACGGCCGTTTTCATTCAATTCAGCGGTATTTATCTTCTAAACGCGAAACGACCCAATTCTATTTATCCGAGGATTAAGGTTTAATCGGTTCCACCGGCGCAAGAACGCCACGTTTTCAGCAAACGAGCGCGTTAAAAATATTCGCCGCGGCTGGATCCGGTCCGGCGAGCATTTTTGTATTACTTGAAACGCCAACGAATCCCTTAATCCCTATCCCCGCGTAACGTGAACCAACAGAACCTTAAACCGCTCCCGTCCGCTGGAACAATTTCTGCCCAGAGGATTCAGACGCAGCTGTCAATTTCACCGACATGTTCTTCCAACCGAGTTATTCGATATTCGAAGGGCCCAACAATACCAATTTCTCCTCGTTTATTTCTCTGAGACCTCGAAAACAATTGGGTTAGCGAAAATTAACTTACTATTTTTCGTTTTTTATAGTCCGTCTAGAAGTTATGATTTATTATATTTTCAGTAAAGAATTTTTTTCACAAAAATGAGTAGGATTCCGGGGGTATGTCTCTCCACCAAAAATGATTGTAATTGACCCCCACAGCCAAAAATAATTTTTTTAGAACGATTTGAAATTTTTCAATTTCGTCGACAAATTTAAGGGGAATAGGTGCACGTATGGTCAGCCATTCTATTTTCAGTAATGATTTTTTTTCTCGAAAATGAGTAGGTTTTCGAGGGTATGTCTATTCACTAAATATTATTGTAATTGAACCCTGCGACTGAAAATAATTTTTTTGGAACGATTTGAAATCTTTTTTTTCGCCGAAAAATTTAGGCACCTACTTGAATTTTTTTCTAGAAAGTGAGTAGGAATTCGTGGGTATGTCTCTCCATCAAAAATGATTGCAATTGACCCCCACAGCCAAAAATAATTTTTTTAGAACGATTTGAACTTTTTCAATTTCGTCGACAAATTTAAGGGGAATAGGTGTACGTCTGGTCAGACATTCTATTTTCAGTAATGATTTTTTTTCTCGAAAGTGCGTAGGATTTCGAGGGTATGCCTATTCACCAAATATTATTGTAATTGAACCCTGCAACTGAAAATATTTTTTCCTTGAATGATTTGAAATTTTTTCGTCTCATTTTGGCCTCTAGTATAGTTTTTACAGGTAATCTTAGGTTTTTAGAAAAATAATCCTCCCCTGCAAGAAATATTTCATATCTCTACTGTCTCATTATTGAGTGAAACTAGAGAAATTGTCTCTTTGTATTATACAAATTTCTTTCTTGAAAAATTTTCAAGTATCTATGAACTCTACTTCCACCCAAAATTTTAACGAAATATATTCACTATTGTAGGCGTTACGGTAGGACAAGTCTTCAAAATGTGCATTTCGTCAACATTGGACGACCAACAAAGTTACAGTTCCGAAGTTCGAAGCAAATCTTGAAACAAGTTACGGTGTCCGTGTTTTCGATGCAAACACACGCGTGCCACGGTTGGCCTAGTTCGTTAGACTTTATCGTGGCCGTAGAATTCTCGAGAAGCGTTCTCGAGGCTCTTCGGGTGTCCGACGGAGAAATCGATGGACGCAACTCACGCGGCAGCCGAGCCAACACGCGTGCAGGCGACCCTGTAACAGGGTCGGGGCGCAAATGGGTGTATTCAGGGAGCCGGGGCAGAAATCCGAATGCACTCACCAAGCCCCATTCTCCGCCGTGAACCGTGAACGTTCACGTGTCCCTGAACGCGCGGACTTCTAATGCACGCGATCGCGAACAGGTATGGCGAACATAAAGGCAACCCGCTGCGGGCATGAATATGAATGTGTACACAGATCAGAATGAATGGATCTGGACGCAGTCGCATGAACGGAAGGCTGGACGTGAAACCGGATACGGTGGGATGCGTGGCGGACGCGACAGAGACCGACGGGGCGGAGGCACCCGCTGAAAACTCCACCCGACGCTGAAAACCCCCGGCCTGTAACCAGTTCAGATTCAATCTACATAATGGAGAAAGCTCGAGACAATGTTTGCACGGGCCTCTCTCATCGCTCCCAATCTTTCCGTCTCCGGTCCGCCGCGGATTGCCAGGACGGGGGGGGGGGTGGGATCCGGTGGAACCAAAGAGCTTGTTAATGGGTTCATTTGGATTCGATCATCGCCTTACCTTTCCATCTGCAACCCTCCCACCCACCCACCCCTACCCCTCGAAGCTTTCCCTCTCGTCGAGTCTTTACTCATTTACTCGTCCCCAGTCTTTGCTTTATCGACTCGCCTCCCGACTCCTGTTCCCTGTGCACCCCCGATTGGCGACGCGAAGCCAACGGGAAAGGTGGACGATCGAGAGGTGAAATTGTCGGTGATCGTGATTGGGGGTAACGTCGTGAGACGGATTAATCGCGTGTTTTCGAACCGGAACGATGCCTGGAAACGTTACTCGACAAGTTTATGGTCGCGCGTTCCCCAAAACTGACCCGCCTCCTACAATTCCTGCGTTTCGAACCAAATTGGCGTTTGAGAATTTTAATATCCATTTTTGTTTACGGAAATGAGATATAGACGAATCTATTTAGCTACTTCTTTCTGGATGTCGCTGTCTCTGAGGAATAACTCTAGGAATATGTGATAATTCGTGTTAGATTAGATAATTTTGTGTTGGATTAGATTTGAATCCAATTTTAATTATTTTATCAGTATAAATGGTATTAGTCAATGAGATTTGATATCGAGACCTAGTAGCCAAAAGGATACTAGTCATGATATTGTATATGAAATTTATTTGGTGGTCCATAATTCAAAAAAGGCGTTGTCCAGGACATTTGTTAGTCACTTTAGTAGATTCCCCGAGCATTTACATATATTTCTGAAGCAGTCAGTGTATCCAAAGCTGCAACTGCAATGTTGCATTAGGTCGTAAAGGTCATTCGAGTACAAGTATCATGGCATCACGGGTTAGAATTGGGGTTAGTTTCGGTAGAAAACGTGGATGCTGAGGTGACGCAAGGGTCATAAAGCTCGGATAACGCGGTGGTCATAGGTATTGGTTTACGAGGAGTTCGGATGACAGAGGGCAGATGAGAAACTACGTATTTAGGGTGGATATATTACATTCTGGCAAATGCGGTGCGTTGATAAATTAATATCGAAAGGTCAACGGGGCATGCGAATTTAATGAGAGTGTTACAGAAGCTTGTACATGGATCTACGTCTACCATCCGTGTATATTATATGCATATTATACATATTCTATCCGTGTAGACGGTTGTTTCCGTGAGTGTGCTTTGAGGGGTTCCTATATTATGTTCTTTGATGTTTCGCAATATTCTACGCGTGTTCTACGAGCCATTCCGGATGTTCTATCATCGCAGTGCGGATTTGTATCTTATATTAACGTTGACGTTACCGATATTATTTTTGTGCGAGGCAACTGATGTCTTATCGATCAATTTCTGCGTAGCGGAGATGGATCAGTCGGTAGACAATTGATGGATGAGTTTCTTACGACTACGTTTATTTATGTATGGACGAATGGGGAAAGGAGCTATTTCTATTTTCTTATTCTCGTATTAATCTAAAATTCCTGTTTAACCCTAAAATTCGATATTTCAGTTTACGTAAAATATCTTTCAATGTAAATAAATAAGTTTCAAGAAAATCATAGAGAGACGTTACTGGTATTCCAGAATTAAGAATCGTAAGCTCAAAAAATTCTAATAAAGTTCCAGCGTCGTAGCATCGAAACGTTCGGGTAAATTGACATCTATACCCTGTGATCTCGAAACACGTCCACCCAATTCCGAAACAGATCGTAAATAAGTGGGACGCGTTAAAACTAAAAAGAAACACCGTGGAGGGATCGAGGGATATTCGATCCGCGGCCACGCAAATTCAGTTATCGTTCCATCGAGGACTGCGAACGTTTCTGGGCCGTCGTTCAATCTCGCCCCTATCGTGATCGCGAGCAGAGGGGCGAAACTTTTCCCGGAGCGAATCTCTTTCAGCACTTTCCTATAAACGACACGCCGTTCGTTAAGACATTTTTAATCAGCGAGGGGTGGAGAGTTCCCGGGCGGAAGCCGAAGGGGGATGAAAAAAGATGGCAGAATCGCTGATCTTCCTATTCCAACTGACTGTAACAGCCAGACTCTTCCTTGACCTTATTAAGAGCCTCTCTGTTTGGACTTTCCACTCACGGGGGACGAAGAAACCGGGAAAAGATCTCTTCCAGCAGGCCTGGACCGAGGGTATCTGGCGCCCTCGGGCTAGATCTCTTCATAACGTATTGATTAATAATGTACTTATTGAACTGGACTCGTACAGATTAAAAAGTTGAAATTGAAAAAATTGAATTATAATTAAATCAGGGTCCTTTCAAATGCATTGTTCGAGAAGCCCATAAGAAGCTAAATTTTTTAACATTTCTGTCCATTTTTATAATCAGTAGCTATTAGATTGCAGATTCTGTTTGAAGGGTCAGAATAAATTAGCTTAGTGTTGTAACTATCAAAGATAATACAGTTTTTTTTTGTTTCTAAAAAAGGGGTGCGTCGTTCAGGCTCTCGGGGCCAGTGTTTCACCCCTGAGGACAGAGATCCTTTTCCTTTTTCGTGAAATCGCCGGTTGATTACATTTCAGGGGCGAGATTTTCACGAAATCACGGGTTGATTACACGATCGCTCGCTGCGAGTTTCTGGGATTGCGAATTCATATGGTAATGCCGCTGAATCTTGCACGGTATATGCCCTTTGGTAAACTTTATGAAATTCTTCTCGAGAATTCAATTCTGCCCTACGGTTCAAATGCAGTTTGTACTGTGTCCCGCGGAAGAGGTAAGCAAAGCTGGATTCCGTATAATTTTCATCTCCGAGACCGTCTCGCGGAGCAATCGATGAGCTGATGCGCATGCAAGAAACGCATGACCGTTTCCATTTACCATTTACGAATGGTAACGCTGGGAATTATTGCACTACACGATTACTTTTATGGGGAAAAACATTTGTCAAAACGTTTATAACTAAGTCGCAGAAGAATGTTATTAAACAAACGTTAACTATTATATTAGTCGACGATCCGTCACAGAAGGCAGTAAATAAATAAAAGATGGCCCCCGATACCATACAGCATAATTTATAATGGATCGTCGCGAAGGGGGTGGTTTACGACATCAAATTATTCTCGAATTAAAATATCAAATTTTCCGCATTTCGTTTTTCCTCATATATTACAGATCGCTGCGAAATTTATTCCATTTAAAAATCGTAAATCATTCCCGTCGTATGGCGGGTTGATTGGATTAATCATGTAAAGTCGATCAGGGAATTCGTCAATTTCTGCATGCTACTTTGGACATTTTAATTAATTAACCGCTGTGTAATGAGAATTTTGAAATAGGACATTTACCAAAATCTGCACGGATCCGTTTAAAGGGTACCTGTACATTTTAATATCTCCGCGATATGCAGGTTTCGATCGATATCAATGCACACCTATTCAGATTTATTATTAGCATTGATATTTCTATCGTTCCATATTTATTGCTCATTATTTCTTTACCTGCAATCAAAAGATTAGAGCAAAACATTTCACAAAAATGGTGCTTCATCAAGAAAGAAGTGTATAATGGAATTCAACCTCTTTCAATAATTAAATACAAAGCTTATAATAGACGACAGATGTAACCAGAATGATATAATTTGGAATGAAATATTTTTAAAAAGTTGGTGACAAAGAACCTACCTTCTTGAAGTAACCACCATGGAGTCGCATGTGGCCATTGAGAGCTGGTATATTTTTGAATTTCCGATGGCACAAATTGCACTCGACTGGTTTTGGTTCGGTCTGCGACTTGTTTGCTGTAACAGTGCCAGGGGATGCCGAATTTCCCGGCGATGGACTACTTTTCCCTACGTTTCCGCTTCCTGGCGAATTAGCTTGTGGTTGTTGTTGTTGGTGCTGCTGTTGGGGTTGCTGCTGTTGCTGCTGCTGTTGCACCTGTTGCTGAGCCTGCTGCTGTTGTTGCTGAAATCATTAAAAGACGACTCGATTATCATCTTTTCATTAACTCGGTGACAGAAGTATACGTGGATCCTACTTTACACATTACTTTATTGGATTCTTTTATTTTACTATTATTTATTCGACATGGTAAATTTAAAAAAATAGGAAACTTTACTTGTGTAAAATTGGAGATTCCAAGGCGTTCGTTATTTAATCAGAAACCACTATATTTTGACTTTAGTCGATTAGTTTACAGCATACATAGTTGGTATTATTGCTAATTTGCTAGTTAAATCTTTGCAAATGTATCTTTGGAGACAAATGTACGACAAAATGTGATATTTAATTCCACTATTTAATCAATTTCGAGCGTGCCTTAAGACACGTTCGCCATAAAATAAAATATTCGATCGCAGGCTCCCCGATTGTTCGTTCTCGCCCCAACCGCGACGAAGTCCGACGAATTCTTTATGTTCCGCCTTCGTGAAAGATCGAAAGGGCAAGTTTCAGGAGAAGAAAGGATAACTTATAGTGGCTCTCTATCTGGAACTCTGGTTCTCACGCTTTATCTTACTCTTATCTTTTCGGTTCGAAAGTACGAACGTTTGAACTTTCTGTGGAAGGAATATATTTCACTTTGTCCATTCACCGATCGCCTAAATCTCTCCTCGAGCTTTCACGGACTTAAAATCTACACTGGTGCATTAACCATTGCAAAAATTCTACGCGAATAGGCGATAGAGGTTTCGTTGAAACGCGTTCACTGCCAGATCAATATAATATTCTACAAAAGTAACGTTTTCATTTTAGACAATTGTAAGCTACATAACTTACAATTGATTTCAGTACTCATTTTCGTGACCTTCTCAAACCATACGTGGCAGTAAAAGTGTTAAAATAACGAAATTGACCCGTTGAGGGTTCATTTTTGGTTCGACTCGAGCGTTTTAATTTGACTAGCGGATCCTCGCTGTTGCCGCGACAGCAAGAAAATTGAAATTCCCCGAGTCGTGACGGTTCAGCCGCGCGTAAACGCGTGCCGTTCGAGAATTTATCGCGCGACGTAATAAACATTCTAATAAAAGCGTTCGTTTCTTTCGCCCGTTTCTGCGTTTCGCCCCGCTGGCCGTTCTCCCGGGATAAACCTGAAACGATGCGTGATAATAATATGGTTACGCGTAGAACGCGGAATTCCTCCTGGCCCCTGGTTAAGTCCTCTCGAGAGCCGAGCCATTCCTCTTCCGGGTTGCTACGAGCCGCGCGGAAACTCTGAAACTTCGCGTTAACAGGGGAATGGGGAAGAGGGAGGGAATAGCTAAGTACAGATCGAGAACGATGCACCTTGTTACGCGGCATAACGTTTCGTAATTTTCGTCTGCCTCCGACGCGAGGCTAGGGGGGAACGAAATAATTCCCAGCTACGCTTTGTTCCAATTTTTCTCTATGCTGCAATTCTCATGATGGATGTTAACGTCAGACAACTGACATGAATTTATTAAATTTATTTTATATTTGCATTTACAATATTTGAGAATTTTTAAAGGGCTCAGTTCGATGTAAAACTTTTTTTAATCGTTTAGAAATTCAGAAATGCATACGCGAAAGGAACAGAGCTTAATAAAATTTCATTTTACACATTCGATTTATTTTCTCAGATAAAACCATCATTCCGGGTCTGCTATAATTACTGGAATACCGTGAGTATATTTATTATATTATTCGCTGTTGAGGAGTATCTGACAAAAATTAATAATAGAAAATCACCGTTTGCTTTTTTTATTCGGTTAGCCACTTGTTACTCGAACTTCACGCCTTTCGTGATCGAATTTCGAGCCGAGGCACGCGCGTCTTTCGAACGAAAATTAGTTTTCAGGCGCACCTCCCACCGGGGCTGATTGATTTTTAGAGCAAACGCGGGATTCGTTAACCGTCGAATTTACGCGACTAGTTTTTGGAAGACAAAGGTGAAACGAATATACAAATTTCTACGGTAATCGTAAACGATTCTACGGTGTTCCCGTAGCATCCCCTTCGTTTCGAAAGATAAAAAGGGGAACAGACGCGTCAGAACCGAGACAAATATGCTGGTCCAGGAAATCGAATCGAACGCGTCGCCGGTCACGAGTCGCTGCTGGCTCGTTGATATTCCGACGACGATTTCGATACTTCGATAAATCATCGAGCATCAAGTCCTCCGTTGCTTCGTCTGTATCCACCAGGAGGTCGAAGGGCGACAGCGAGGAGAGAAAGTCGTGACCCGGCCGAACTTCCTCGACAAGGTTCTCGTTACGTAGTCAAGTCCTCGCGGCGAAATTGCGCGCTCCAGTTTTCATTCAGCCTGCAAATCGTTCGTCCACGCCAGTGACTCTTAACTACCGCCCGGCGAACGTTTCACGAACGATTTGAATAATTTTTACGCCGACGTGAACGCGTTCACGATCGTTGCAACTTATGAAAGCATTAATTAAAATCGATGCTTGGGAAAACGTAACGTCCGTTCTCAAACGATTTGCTTTCCAAGTTCCAAACTCGTTATCAAACTGTATTGCGTTTTCGATCAGTTGAAATGCTCCTATCAATTTTTTTGGGTCACGAACAAATATTTGGAATGATTTTTACAATTGGTGCTCGTGGTCGTTGCTTATGGCACAGCCACTCTGTGCTCCTTAACCGTGTACCCTTGATCTTTATCCATAGAAGATGATGCTTCTGATTAAATGTGAAGGCGTAACTCTGTCAAAATTAATCTAACTCTCCGTCCTGATTTTTCCCATAGAGAAACCTCGGTGTCCAAGGTGACAACGAGGAACATTGCCTATTGGAGGGAGGATTGGTAAAGCCAATCCTCATCGTCGTCACCTTAGGAGGGCGGTTCCTACATATGCAACATTCCCGTGCACCCTGCTGTCCAGTGTCCAGGTTGTTATTAACTTATTTGAGGCAATTCTATTGAGGCTATCATCGCTATTGAGGCAAGATAGAGCTCCAAGGATTGAAAGTCCCGTGTGGAGTTTGGTTCCGTAACGACCGTATCCTAATTTGTCAAGTAAAAATGTCTTGAAGGCCTAATCCTCAAAAATATCGAAGAACGCTCGCTGTACCGACCCTGAACACAATTTTTATGTATTTCCTGTCGTTCCAATAGCTAGATCTAGTCGTAGGGGACACCCTGTGGAGGCTTAAGAACCACTGGTCGTCGGTTCTCCGGAATCGTTGCGGCTCTCTCGCCAGGAGAATCGAAGCTTCGTTCGAGAGGGACGCTCGATTTCCAACGTGCAGCCGCACGTGCGTTCTACGTGAGACGCATGCGATGCCTGGTCCGCGTTTACGGGGAAAGAGTTCCGGAGAGCTTTTCTTTCGGGTCACATCTCGTCTTCGAGTAGCAACCTTCCGTGAATATCGTCGGGGCTCGACGACCGGCATCGTGCGAGTCCCGCTCTTTTGTCGCTTAAGAGAACGTACTTCCGGTGAGTGGCTTCCGAGTCAACGCGGGATAAAAGGGGGTACGAGTACCCGGTGAAAGAAACACCGTCGTGGAAGAGCACGGAGAGGGCTCTTTACGAGGGGCTGATCGCTTGGTTAATTAATCGGGATGGAATCACGCAACATGGTTCACGGCGATCAAAGATTGCCCCGCCAAGGGCTCCGATAAAGCGTTTTTCCTTTTCGCGGCGACACTTCCCGCGAAACCGAGTCACAGCTAACGATTTTTCGTACGACGAAACGCGTCTGGAACATTGAATTTTACCTTATTCAACCCTTAAGTGGACTATGAATTACTTAATGTTCATTTTTATCAAATTAGTAAATGGAAATCAACTTTCCTTTGAAGCATTTGCAAAATAATGAACTAACGGAGGATTATGTAAATTTTTGAATAATTACATTGATATAGAAAAGAATATTTATTGTTTCCGTAGACTGATGTATTATTATTTAAGGAAAATTCAAATTTCAATGCTGCAAATTCCGGTTAATTTATTTCTTGTTTCGTTACTTTTATTTCGTTGAATTCATCTCGAGCTATTTTATTATTTTATTTTTAAAAATAATTATAAAATGCACAATATATTGCTGACGATTATTACCACTTAAAAAAAAAATAACACCCGATAAACGAAGAATTACTCCCAGTAAGTAGATAACATTTATATCAGTCAGACTCGCGTCTGACTATTCGCGCGCTCTTACTACTTAGAGATGTCTCATCTTCGCTGAGAACGTCTCTGTTCGCGAATCAAATTTAGCAGCTGCAAGAGGCCCTTCGAAATTCTCTCGTTTTCACCAATTAGCGTCCCGACTTCTAATGGAATAATTAATTAAAGGAAAATTACAATATTATCCGAACTTTGTTAAAGAGCGAATCGAACTTGCACGATAATAGTGTTTATCGTTATTTCCTTCGGTATTTCGATTCGCCAGACCGACCTTTCGTGCCGAGAGCAATCTATTCGATTATCGTCCTCCTTTTGCTTCATCAAATACATAATCCAGTCGATCGACGATAATGGCGGATCGTTTGTAGCGGCGGTGCATTGCGGGGCACGAGCGAGTTTAATTTAAGACACGACTGTCGGGGCGCCGCGACGATAAAATCCGTTTAATTCGTGCAGGTCGAACGATTATATCCTCCACGTTTCTCTTCCTCGTTGTTCCAACAATCTGCCGCGATAAAATAACGCTCGAGTATCGATCTTGAGGCGGACCAGTCTCGAAACAATTATTGTTTGCTGTTTCCTCGATGCCATTAATCGTGCACGACGATGCAATTTCTAAGTTTGATCGTTCGTTTCTTTCAGAGCTTTTAGTAATATTTTATTACGAATGAAACAGACGATTATCAAAGTAAGAAAAATTATAATAATTTTGTAAAATTATCAGCTACAGAGGTGTATTTATCGCTGGATTATCAATCCACGTTCTAATACCGAAGCTCACGCGAGATACAGCCAAATTGAAACTGGTAAAGTGAGGTTTCAACTACAAATTACGACGTTGCATTTAGAATCCGACCTCTCGCG